TACTTGTAGGGCTTATGTGGTTTTAGGAGTTTTGGGGCATAGGAACTAGGGCTTACAGGGGTTTAGGGGTTTGGGGGCATAGGAACTAGGGCTTGTAGGGTTTTAGGAGCTTGGGGGCATAGGAACTAGGGCTTAAAGGGTTTAGGCTTTGCGGGTTTAGGAGTTGAGGGTTGAGGGGTTAGGGCTTAGGGTTGTAGGGTTTGAGGGTTTAGGAATTTAGGGCTTTAGGGCTTAGGATTTAGTCTTTTGGGGGTTTGGGGTTTAGGGTACAGTGTTTCTTGTTTAGGAACTAGGAACTGGGGTTTAGGGTTTAGAGCCTCTTAAGGTTCTGGGTTTGTGTGTTGTTTTGTATGCTTTCTGTGGAGAGAAATCCTTAGAGGTTCTGCTGCGGTCTTTTGTCATGGTATAGACCCAAGAGGTTTAGGATTTTTCGTTTTATGTTGTATAAGACGTAGTACCAACCCACGGGTTTGGGAATCAGTTGTCGTTTTCCTGTTGTGGGAGAAGCCCAATGTTACTAAGTTCCAGCATGGCTTGTAAAACAGGATCAGAGCGCTTGTAGTTGTAGCTAGCAGGTACGCTTGTGACCATTTTTGGCTGGGTTTGATTGAGGCACTCAGGGTTTATTGTAGGGTGTAGGATTCGGACTCAAAACGGAACCCTGGTTTTGTTAGGAGATAGTATACCACCCTGAAGAAGTAGTGTGTAATCTGGTTCCTTAGGTTTGTAATGGTAGTTTACAGCGACTTTGCTCCAAAACCGATGATAAAACTTAAGCCCCCCATCCTAAAGCGTATAAAGCCTTGCATGTAGAAGCCCTGGAAATAAGCCCTCGTATCAGCCTTACAACGCTATTCGAATAATTGAGCCCCCTATGTTATTACACATATATTTTTATATACATATGCTTATATATGTAGACAGAGAGAGAGAGAGAGAATAGTAAACCCTCGACAACCCCAGTGTCCCTCAACCCTGAGGCCTCAATGCTAAGCCCTAAACCCTGATTAAACCCTCCTGAAAACACGTTTAAAGAAACCCTTTCCTGGCGAATGTAGGACCCCCTTATAGAAGCTCGTGGATAGAAACCCAAAGACCCTAAACCCCAAGCCTCCAAACCTTCAACCCAGGCCGTTAGTCACCGTCCTCACGGGGGTTTAGGGTTTAGGGCTGAGGGTTTAGGGTTTAGGATCCTTCGAGACTGGCGCGGCCCCTAAATCCTAAACCCTCAACCCTGTAGGGAGCCTTATGGAAACTCTGATCCCTTTACATAAAACTTTTTTACAGAGAAACCCTGAATTTAAAACGAACCCCTGCAAACCCTAAACCCTGAACCC